CTCAACAATCAAGAAAATGCCCCACAGACATGGCCCCAGGCCAGTCTAATGGAGGCAATTCACCAGTTGAGGCTCCCTCAACCCAGGTGTGTCAAGTTGACACTAAAGCTATCCAGCACAGGGCCAGATGTCCTTTGTGCCTCCCAGAAGGAATTTTAGCTATAACCTCCCAAATTCAAATAGCTAGATATGCAAATTTTAAAAGTCAATAATTTCTTAGTAAGATAAGCCCAGAGACTCACATCAAGACACATAATCAAAGTATTGGGAGATCAAGAGAGACTGTAAAGGCATTGAGAGAAAGAATTTGTCATGTGTAAAGGGTTCTCAGTAAAACTAATTTCTCAGCAGAAAAATAGGTGGTTGGAAGTCAATGAGATGATATATTTAAGATGCTGTGTGAAATACTGCCACCATCACTATCACTACCAGCAACAAAGATCCACTGATCAATAATTATGTATCTGGTAAAACTATGAATGGGGGTGGGGGAAGTAAGAACTTCCCAGATAAACAAAAGCTGAGTGAATTCATTGTTGTGCTAGTTTTCCTGGCATATATGAGCAAATGGCTGTTCAGCACAGCCAGGGCTCCAAGAGCAGGCCAAGTAAAGATTCTATTCAAGTCTAGTTTGGCGAACCAATGAGTTTAACTGGTGCTACTTACAGGAACAGGGATGAAGTTTACCTAAAGGAGCTTGGGTAACTTAAAGGCAGCCCACACCACTAAAGAAGAGGTTCTTCACCCATAAATTTCTACCCGTTTATATATCCTTGGGGAGGGGAGGAGCGTTGTGCATCTCATGAGCCACCTCTCCTGTAATCCCCCTGTGTGCTGCCTTTTGAGCTGCTTGTGCAAAGCTCATATGCCTCCTGAGTTCTTCCTACCTTTCATAAGAGAATGCTAATAGGCCCAGTCTTGTAAAGGTCTCATGTGAGTAACCACAGTTCCCCTGATTTCAAGGTGGCAACAGTCATGCTTTGGCCTGAGGATCAAGATCCACTTCACTCCTTCTCCTCCCTCTTACAGTCTTTCTGTCCTCTTTTCCACAATGCTACGTGAGCCTTGGCAGGGGTGATAGAGATGTCTTATTTAGGGTTGAACCTTTAATAGTTATTTTTAACACTTTGGCCTCTTAGGAATCTCTGGAGTAACTGTTTACCACAGCAAAAAGAAAACTTGTCTGACTAAATAATCTATGGTCAAAACCATAAATGTTCAGAAGGTATTTTGAGAAACATGTCACATTCATTTGACAAAATTATAGCAATTGCTTCCCCACTGGACTTATGACCTCCCTAGCCAAGGGTTACAATATCAGACATGAGCTTCCTCTGTAGGGTAGGCAGGCCTTGAATCCAGAAAGTAGTTGGCTGCATCTGTGACAATTGTGCCACTACTGTGTAAGTGAGCATCTCTCACCTGGGTAGTACAACACTAAGGGTCTACAGCTGAGGACTAGCGGTTACAGTTCTCCCTTAGAAGCCTGTACAGTGCCTTTTGGCACTAACAAGTCATCCTGCAGGAGAGAGCTTCTCCTTAGGTCTTAGCTTGGTTTCTTTTTTAAATTAAATTCAGTGTCTCTGTGTGTGTGGAAGTCACAGGACAATTTGCAGGAGTCAGTTCTCTCCTACCACATGGTTCTAGTGATTGATTTCAGGTCATTAGGATTAGAAGCAAGCACCTTTACCTGCTGAGTCATCTCACTGGTCTCCGTCTTGATTTCTTCATGTTTTGCATATAAGTATGTGGTGTCTTCAGCAATGAAGTCTTACCATCTAGCTCTGGTATCCCACCAGCAATAGTGGCAACAGCTGTTATGATTTGTTGCCCCAGGAGCCTCTCTGGGCAATAACTCATATAAGTAGGTAGTCTACCCCAGGCTTTGAGGTTTATTACCCAACAATTTTGTGGCTCCTGAGATGTCTTTTTATACCCATGCGATGTGCTTTCTTTTTATACCCATGCGATGTGCCTTCTTTTTATACCCATGCAATGTGCCTTCTTTTTATACCCATGTGATGTGCCTTCTTTCAAATCCTTCAGTTGCTCTTTCTAAGGTTCTTGCGGAAGTTTTCTGAAATGTATAAGAGACTCATGAGTTACATGACATAATGAAACCTCTTTACAGAGACTAGACAGGGTCTCTGAAGGCTCATTGCCTAAGCAAATGCAAATTGGACTCCGGAGGCTAGTGGGCTACTAAAATAAAACATCAACAAGCTCTAAGATAGCATGAAAAGATCTATCACTTGTGTCAATTGTTTCCTGAAGAGATCATATTGGATACAAGATCATGGATGGGAGGCACTACTATCTAGATTTCTACCATCCAGTCATTCTCCATGAACTGTCTGGCCTTCCCAGCCTGGGAAGTCTCAGCAGGACTGGCTTGCACTGATTGGTCTGGCCCATGGTCTGGGGTCTGATAAGCTGTGGCTGTCACCTCTTCTAAATAGACGACTCCACCCCCAGTATACTCTCTTGAAGGGGAGAAATGTGCGTAACATGTTCTTGGGATGGAGGAGGAGGTGGCTGAACACACTTGCTAAGCTAAATCATTCTAACTTGTACCACTCTATCATTTATTCCTTTTTTCGCCCCTTTGGTGAACTGTTGCAGAGGCCTTGAAGCCTTCCAGAGACCTCCATTAGCATAGAGCCTTTGGTTTTCTGTTAAACTTTTCCTGGCTCAACAGAAATCTTGCTACATTTTCTTTTGAGTGACCTGGATACCGTTTCTGCTTCCATTTTCTCATATCTTCTTATTGCTTTAGCACCTTACTTACCCAATTTAAATAGTGATTTAAGTCATTTACTGCCAGAGCCTCTCTTGCTGCCTAAAGATCATGTCCCACCATGGGGTTCACCAAAGCTTTATACCAGTGCCAAGACCCCTGCTGAGTTAACTTATTTTTTAACTCTCCTGTGAACATAGTCCCACCAGGCCTAGTGAACTGGGCATCAAACACTGCATCTATGATATGCCACAGTTCCCTTGGTAATGCCTCTCCTCTGGTGGTTGGCTTTGGTTGTCAACTTGACACACCTGGGAAGAGGGAGCCTCAAGTCAGGAATTTCCTCCATGAAACTGGCCTGTGGGCATATCTGTGAGGCATTTTCTTGATTGTTGAGTGATGTGGGAGGATCCAGCTCATTGTGGGTAGTGCCACCCCTGGGCAGGTAGTCCTGTATTGTATAAGAAAGCAGACTGAGCACAGGCCAGAGGAGAAAGCCAGTAAGCAGCACTCCTCCATGATCTGTGCCTCTAGGTTCCTGTCCTGAGTTCCTGTGTGACTTCCCTCAAAGACAGACTACCACTTAAATGTAAGTGTAAGATGCAATAAATCAGGGCTGGAGAGATGGCTCAGCGATTAAGAGCACTGACTGCTCTTGCAGAGGACCCAGGTTTGATTCCCAGCACCCACATGATAGTTAACAATTGTCTGTAACTCCAGTTCCAGGGGATCCGACGTCTTCTGATCTCCATGATTGCATGACAAGGGTGTACTTACACACATGCAGCAATACACTAATCACATAAAAATAAAAATAAGTAAAATATTTTTTAAAAGATGCAATAAACCCTTTCCTCCCTGTTGTTTTGGTCAGAGTGTTTTGTCACAGCAACAGAAAAAGCAAACTAGAACACCCTCCTTTATTGTTTACCAGTTCCTGATACTCATGGGGACTTCAGTGAGGGATAACCAGATGAACCAGTGCACTGCGGGCTGTGAGAGGCGCTTTCATTTCTTATTTAAAAATCTTTCCCAGGCCAGTGAGATGGTTCACTGAGTGGGTAAATGGCACATGCCACCAAGCCCGATGACATGGGTTCAATCCCCAGTACCCACATGGTAAAAAGAGAGAACCGACTCCCACAAGTTGCCCTCTGACTTCTACATATGCGCACCCATGCTTCAACGCTGCTGTGCACACACACACACACACACACACACACACAAATGAATAATTAAAGAAATTCCTCCTAGTTTGAGAATTTCAGAAGCAGAGTGTTCTCTGGTTATCAGTGTCCTGTACTGAGCCCTCCGCATGCTGAACCATGGATTTCCCCATCACTATATTAACGATCAGACTGAGAGTTATCTTCTGTCATTTCTTCCTTGCCCTCTTGGTCTTCGCCATCTGATTCTTCCCATGCGTTCCAAGTTTGGGGGGGGGTGTCTAACTTGTTGTCTTAGTCACTTTTCCTGTTGCTGTGATAAAATACCCTGACAAATGCAACTTGTAGAAGAAAGGTTCAGTTTGAGCTCACTGTCTGAAATATAGTCATGTCGGGAAGTCACACAGCAGCAGAGGCTTGAAGCAGCTGATGTGTCACATCCACAGTCAAAACGCAGGAGTTATGAGTTTTTGTGCTTAGCTCAGTGTTTCCCTTTTCAAAGTCCGGGATTTCCCATCTCTGTTAACCTAATCAAGTTGATCCCTACAGACAAGCTCATGGGCTCACCTCCAAAGCGATTCTAGATCTCATCGAGTAGACAATCACACTTGTCCTCTCTCTCCCTTCAGCCCCCCTCCCAATCCTAAGAAACGGCAAGCCCGCGTGTCCGTCATCCTTTTCTCCTCACTTTCCCTGCTAACTCAGATGCTGGTTTGAAGAATGGTGTTCACATGTCTTTGTCTTTTTCTTATAGTGGTTTCTCTTTCCTGTGTGCACATTCTTTTTCTTTTTTTTTCTTTTTGAGACAGGGTCTTCCTGTCTCCCCAACTGGCCTGGAACTCACCATGTAGACCAGGCTGGCTTTGATCTCACAGAGATCCACCTGCCTCTGCCTCTGCCTCTGCCTCTCCGAGTGCTGGGATTAAAGGCCTGTGTCACCACCCGGCCATGTGTACGCATTCTTTCTGGGTAGACAGGTCAGCATCATTCTCTTATCACCCAGAGCAAGGGCTATGAACTGATGACACATCCTGCTTATGATCCATTCCCATACGTGTCACTTTCAGAAGTTGTAATACTTTCTTTATATCCATCAGCCGTTTAGGGGCATCCTCATACTCATGCTGTGGACCCCACTCATCAAGGAGACATGCTACTCCATACCACATGGGCAGCCACCCTGGACCTCATCTTTCCTCGGAAGAACCCTAGTTGTACATCTTTTCAGTCAAGAGCAGAGATAATGCAGGTATTCTCAAACTCATCTTTGGGTTCTGTCACGTTTTTGGTGGGGGCCACATGTGCGATTAGCTTTCCCTGAGGCCACAAGAACAAGCATCTCTTCACTGAAAGTTAAGGATGGAAGAGATGATTCCACTGAGTGGGTCACCGTTTCTAGCTTGGTGACCCAGGAAGTTTGAATGGGGTAACTTATGGGTGGTTATACCACCAAAGAAGCATTTTGGTCCCCAATAATTGTTAACTGCTTATGTATCCTTGGGGCAAGTAGGTCCTAGTGTGACTCCTTGGCTCCTGTCAGCCTTTGCCCCTTGCATGCACCTCCTTCACTGTCTCATGAGCCACCTAGGAGCCCCTCATGAACTGCCTCATGAGTCACCAGGTTGCAGCCTGTGTGCTGCCCCTCTGAGCCCCTTGTGCATGTCTTATACACCGCCTAGCATGCTGCCCCATGAGGCTCATACTCTCCAGGAAGGAGATCTTGTGTGTGTCTCATGCTGGGAATCACAGCTTCTCTGATTTCAAAACAGCAGTGGCCATGACATGCCTAGAGGACAAAGGTTCATGGCAATTTGCCCTACCAAGTGCTACTTGGAGTCCTTCAGATTGAAATAAAAGCAGCTCAGCAATAACTCAAAGCCATCTGAAACAATGATCTCTTGCAAATACTTGGGTAAATAGAAAAGTAACCATTAAACTGGGTGAGGTGGTGCATGTTTCCCAATCTCAGTCCTTGGGAGGCAGAGGCAGGAGGATAGGGAATTCAAAGCCAGCTTGAACTTTATATTAAGAGGCTATCCCAGAAAACCAAAACAAACAATTAACACCGCCCCCACGCCTCAAACAGCAAACAAAGTCTTCATTATTTTTGTATATAATTTTATTTTTATAAGACTTGAAAGGCGAACAAAAATAATCATAAGTATATTGATTATGTAACATACAAAGATGCAGTCTAGGACATTAATAACAATGAGTAGGGCAGGATGGAACAATACAGATTTTGCATGTGACTGAAATCAGTTTGGTATCAATTCAAAGTAGACTGCTATACATTTAGATGTGAAATCTAACCTCCATGTCAGCCCTATTTATGAAAATAATTTATAGGATATACAGAAAAAAAGGAGAAAAGAGTGAAAAATTCCACTGAAAATAGTAACTGAGCACAAAGACTAGAACTTTAGATTTTTTTCCCTAAAAAAAGGAAAACTATAAAGAAAGGAAGAGCTAAAAGACAAACAGGTATTAAATAGAGAAAGCAAGTATATCGCAAAAATGGCTTCCTTCTTAACGGTTCCTCCAAATGTGAATATGTTTAGCCTCTCAAAAGAAGGCATACACCGACATAACTATGTACATTTTATAGGAGACTCATGCTAGATCCATGGACACAAGCAGGTTGAAGGTAAAGGAATGGAAGAAAAGTCTGTATTGTTAGTATCTGAAGTGGTTAAGCTAACTGACAGAAGAGGAAAAAGACAAACCAATGAAATCAAAAGTTGATTCCTGGAAAAGATCAACAAGATCGATGCCCCTACTAGGTTGGCTAAGGGAAAGGGAAGAAGACTCATTATTGATTTTATAGAAATAAAAATGACAGGGGGCTGGAGAGATGGCTCAGCAGTTAAGAACACTTGCTGTTCTTCCAGAGGACCCAGGTTTGATTCCCAGCACCCACATGGCAGCTAACAAGTGTCCTTAGTTCCAGTTTCAGGGGATTCGACACCCTTTTCTGGCCTCTGCAGGTTTGCAGGACACGGGTGCACTTGCATACATGCAGGCAAAACACTCAAACACATAAAAAATTTAAAAAAGAAATAAAAATGACAGTACTGAGAGCAATTGTTTGTTTAAAATTTGGTCACCTAGGTGAAATAGACAAATTCCTAGTAGAAACACATATTCAACTAAGGCTGACCAGGAAGAAACTGAGAATAGATCTATATCTAGGGAAGAGATTGAGTCAGTAATCAAAACTCTCCCACAACGAAACACCTTGCACCAAAGGACTTCACTGGTGAATTCAGTTAAATAACTAAAAGATTTATTAATGCCCATGTGTATTAATTACTTGCCTTATTACTGTGACAAAATGCCTGACAAACGTGACTTAAAGATGATGGGTTTATTTTGGCTCACAGTTCCAAATGATGCAGTCATCATGGCAGGGAAGGAGCGGCTGCAGGAACATCACATCCCCATTCAGGAGACAGAGAGTGACCAATGTTCATGCTCGGCTCACTTTCTCCTTTTTATGCAGTCCAGAACCCTGGCCAGTGGAATGGTACCACTCACATTTATAGTGGATCTTCCCACCTCAATGAACCTACTCTAGGTAACTCTTCACATGCATGCCCAGAGGCTTGTCTCATAAGTGATTCTAGATCTTGTGAAGTCAACACCACCACACCATTCTTCTTAAATCTTCCAACATTTTTAGGGGAAGAGACTATTTCCTAACTCAGTCAGGGAAGCCAGCATTAACCTGAAAAAACAGAAGCCAAACAAAGAAACTACAAGAAAACTTATGTCAGCATACCTCATGACTATCCATCAGTATTATCTTATGACCACTGATCCTCAATGAAACACCGCAATCACAATTCAACAGCACAACAAAGAATTATATACTATGATCAAATGGGATTTATTCCTGGAATGCAAGGGTGGCTAACATGTGAAAATCAGTGGAATATACAACATTAAAAGAATGAAGGGGGAAAAGCACACTATCATCTCAATCGATGCAATGAAAGCGTTTCACAAAACCAATGCCCTCTCATCGTAAACACTAAGCAGGCTAGGAAGAGAAGAAACCATGTTGATGTAAGAAAGGTCATAAATGCAAATGGCTATTCTCACAGCAGCAGAGGATGAAGAGTTTTCTCTGTAGAACAAAAAGGCAGGATTTCCCTTTTTCTATTTCTATTTATTCTTCTTAAAAAGGCAATAAAAAGAAATAGGTATTGTAATTAGAAGGGAACATAAGATTATTTTCGTTTGCATATATCACTATCTTATTTATAAAAAAACAGAAAAGATGCATAAAGCAAATCAGCAACCCAAAATGTAATAAATGTACACAGCAAAATAGCAAACAGTCTAAGGAGTGTGAAAAGAATCCTATTCATAATAACGTCAAAAATTATATAACAGAGGGAAGAATGGGCCTGCTCATCACAGAGGACTTCCAGCAGCGAGGTAGGGTTCTAGGAGCTGGGGAAGGAACATGGGACCCCAGGCAGAATTGAGCAATTGGGCCAGGTAGTTTTCACACCCTACCTCTCCCAGGTCTCTCCTCTATGTCTACTTGGTCTTTATTTAATACCCAATGTCTCTTTAGCAGGCCGGTTTGGTCCTGTTGTGTTCTTACTCGATGTTCCCCTTTCCACCTCCTTAATATCTCCATTTACATTTTCTGAACACCTTAGTCTGGCCTTGTTATCAAGACCTCTGTGCTCAGGCTCCTGAGTCCTGGGACTGTCCCACACTATCTGGTCGCATTGACTTGCCTCTCTCTTTTCAGTCTACGTTTACTCTAAACTCCCTCACCACCCTGCCCTTTTCCCCTGGACCTCTTTCTGTTTGCATCCCTCTCCTCTCCTTTCTATAACCCCCCAACTTACCACTTCATCTTTACTACATTTTTGCTTCATTTTCTTTTCATTTGTATATGGATGCAACCCCTCAATCCTACCATAATCTGGTCCCTCCTGAACATTGCAGACACGTCCTCCAAAAACAGGATGATAAAAGTAAACACAAACACTCCCAAACCCCACAACCTAACCAGTGCTCCAACCCCTGATACACAAGTTCCAAGGCAAAACCACATGCAACACGAAAAACCAAGACAACATGTCTCCTCCAAAAACTACCAATGCCGGGTCTTGGTCCCCAGTGAGAAATGACTTAGATGAACTTCCAAATGAAGGATTCAAAGGAATGATTATAAATATGTTCAAAGGAATCAAAGAACAAATGAGTAAACTCTTGAATTAATTCCAAGAGAATGCAAACAAACATAAAAAAATTAAGGAAGTTAATGCAGGATATGAAAATGAGATTCAATAAAGAGATAAAAATACTGGGGGAAAAAAACTGAAATGATGCTTAGAATGAAAAATTTGACAAGTCAAATAAAAGTCTCTGTGGGAAGCTCACCAAGAGCAGGATTCATGGGGAGGGCAGAAAGTCAAGGCTAGAAGACAAGCTGGAAGAATTGGAATATTCAGTAAAGAACAATGATAAATTTGAACAAACAAATAGATAAATAAATAAATAAATAATAAAATAAGTAAAATAATATATGCCATATATATCTAAGTTTTAAAAGTTAAGCTTAAAATAATGTAAAAACAAAATAACATTAAAAAAATAAAAAGAATTTTTGAGTCTATTTTAGGTTCCATTATGAATGAAAAAAAGAAACCAAAGAAAGCAGAGACAAGAACCAGAATGTTCTAGAAAATCTATATTCCTGTGTCCATAAGCTTCCTGGGGCTCATTGCCATTGTGTATGTATGTGTAGGATAGAATTCAAGGACAGGACTTCAGTGAGCCCTACTCCTGTTATCTCTAGTGACCATTATTTAATAAATACCTTCACATCACTGAAAAGTCCTGGGGTAATTCTGGCTTTCTGCAGTGCTGATTAGGTGGCTAAAATAACCTGGCCGTGAATCTAGCCCCTGTCCCCCTAACCTCACATGTATACTGTTGACTCCTAGGAACCAGAACTTTGCAGGCTTTTCAGCGGTGGTCATGGTGGAGTGGCTGCAGCTCCAGTCTCTCTCACTGTAACTGTGCTAGCCAGAGGAGGAAGGAATCTTTTTCAGTTGGTCCTACACAAATCCTGAGGTTAATTTAGACCAATGGTCTAAACCAGGCACATGCCCATCGTTGAACCAAGCATCGTGGACAAAGACTTAAGATGTGCTGTCTAGATTAGATTAACCAGGACTCTCCCTGGGAGCAGAGGGCTGGAATTGACCCTCGGACACCAAAAGGTTGAAGATAGGAAAGAGAAACGTTCCCCAAGAATAACCAGGCATCTCTGATGGGAACTGGAGGCAAAGGACAGAGGTTTTAAAGGCACCCCACATATGCCCACTGTAACCTGTAGTTTCATTAATGTTCCTTTTTTGCTCAGTCTTTCTTGAGTCAGTTTTAAACTTGTAAGCAGAGTCCTTCAAAAGCATGACCTTCACCCTCACTTTCGCTGCTGGGACATCCTTAGCGAACTCTGGGCTAGCCGGAAAGGCGAGGAAAAGGAAACCTCACTCGCTCCAGGTGGAGGAGACAGCCTCACACAGAGGTGGTCAAGACCCTGGTCTCCATGAAAACAGAACTCAAATGTGATTATTGGGACTTGTGATCGGCTATAAACAAGGTCTAAATGAATGATACTAAGTAAAACCCTGAGGATTAAAAGAAAAATTTAAAGTACGAGTCTATATAGTTCATAATATATTCATGGAGCTTTGTTAACTACAAACCACGTCAGTGAAGATCCTGTGGCCTGACTCGTAGTAAAGAAATCTTAATGAGTAATCATGACTCCCCCAAAAACGATTTTGTTCTATTAGGTTCCTTTTATTCATATAATATTCATATAAATATTCACAGATGGAAAAATTTCCAAGTCTCAACACAGCGAATACCAATTCAGAGCCACCACAAATGATTAAGTTGAAAATAATGCTATAATTTATAGGATGGGTGTAATTGGGAACAAAATGGCAGAGACAACAGTTAAGCATCCTTCAAAATGTGCTGACTTCCCAACAGGCGCGATGGCGTGAAGGATGGCTCTCCTGTGAAGAACACAGACAGCAAACACCTGGAGGCAAAGCAATCCAAAAGAGGTAGTCATATCCTACAAAGATGGTTCTGGAAATGCCTCCTCAATGTGTTTCTCCTTTGGGTTTCCAGAACAGAAATATATGATACAAATCGATGTGTAAGCCAGGCATGGTGGCATGCCTCACCCAGCACCCAGCAGTCAGCAGGCTGGGGCAGGAGGATCTTGAGTTCAAATCCTGAAAAGGCTATCTAGCAAGATCCTATGTCAACAATAACAACAAAAAGAAGAAAATTTAAAAATAAAAGATTAAGTACAGTGTGGTGGTGCACACCTTTGATCCCAGCAGTTGGGAGGCAGAGGCAAGTGGATCTCTATTCAGATGGAGGCCAGCCTGGTCTACATATTGAGTTCCAGGCCAGCAAGAGCTATAGGGAGACCCTGTCTCAAGCAAGCAAATAAAAAGTAAATAAACAATTAAATCCAGGTCTAAATAACAGATGAATGTGCTTTCAATTAATTTAATGTTTTAATTCTTATAAGAAAACATTGCAAGATACCTTAGTAGCATCCTAAATTTGATAGGCATACAGCAGTTCAGGCTTAAAACCTGTAAGTTTGCATGATGCAACTTGGGTGTATGATTATTACTTTGATCACTTTCCTTCCCAGGATTCACTTCTGTTCCTCCTATTTTTGCATCAGAACTCAAGTTCTGTGATCTTAATGCTTACAATATTCACTGGCCAGGATATTATATTTATAGCTCTATCCAAATGGGTGATGCACTTTACAAATCATTTCACCACAGTACAAATGTTGTGATCTTAAAACTATTTTTTATGGCTGAACACCCTATTTCATCCTCCAAGAATCTAAGACCTATAAAAAACAACCTATCAATCAATCTCAAACACATTACAATTTACTGATGGGTGCTGATTTGTCCAATACAAATGGGACAACAGTTCAAATAAACAAATGCTTATGATGTTCAATGATGTGTAAACAAGTTCCAAGCAAATAAGTGGGCACGTTTGCTTCCTCCTCCAGCCTTAGTTCCTTGTTACTTAGTCTTTAGCTAAGCCCTTCAGTGCCTCCACCTGGGTGGGATTCATCAGCAAGTTACCTTACAGCACTGGCCATTTCTAGAAAATTAAAGCTAGAATTAATGCTAGAAACATGTTAAGGCACGGTCGTGATTCTTATAAATCCCCCTTCTCGGTCATGGCTGATCATTCCATTATGTCATAATTATCATACAACTATAGCGTAAATACATGGTTATTTCCAGCCCTCAGTCCAGATGGTCGGTTACACGATAATTACAGTATGTTTGTACTTACTGGGTTTAATTACCAGATAATCAGGAAGAACATGCAAATTGCTAGGTTGTTGTAACACAGTACATTGATCCAAGTAAAACCTGTGTATTGCATATAAGTAAACAAGCTCTTACAGGGGACTGTGCCCCTAACCTGTGACGGCAAGAAGCCTTGTGATTGCTTTGTAGGTGCGTTGTGTGGGTTAGCATTCCACTCCCTGGGCTTGGATTAATGTCCAGATTACAAGGAGATGTAATAGGAGAGACGTTCATCCTACCACACCTCTGTGGGGACAATGGAACCTGGCCACAGGAGTGGCTGAGCACGGTGCCAGCTCGTGGCTCTGGTATCCAGCTCTTCCAACCGAGAGCATTCCAGAGCCACCTGCAAGCCCAACTGTGTACCTGCCCAAGTGCTGGCAGGGAGAGACTGCAAAACACCAACCAACACCCTCCTCTGAGCAAAGTGTCCCTCCAGGCAGGGTCCAGCTCACAGTGCCCTGTATGTGTGCCCAGCCGCCAGCCCTGCAGCTGAGTAATCCTCCCCCCTCCCCGCCCCAAGTAGAGCTTCTCCAGTCAACATTTTCTGATTCCCATGAATCAGAACACGGCTGCACATTGACTGTGGCAATTGGCTGAAAGTTGGGCGTGCCACATGAGCCAATCTTATCATAGAACATTTTTTGGAAATGCCGGTAAAGCATCTCCCTCTTCCCTCCTGGATGTGAACAATGAAATCTGAAGTGTCATGGCCCATCGGGTGCCATTTTCAACCATAAGGACAAAACTGGGTCTTTAGTGACATCACTGGGCCTCAAGATGCAGCTCTACCTGAATCCTTCATCTCCATTTTCCAAGCATCTAGGAGAATAAACGACCTCTCTTGATTGTGCCACTTTGATCGTGCAGGTCTGTCTATTAACAACCAGAAGCACAATACCTTTGAAGGTATTTCTCTGCCTGGCTTGCCATAGAAAATCCTTTATCAGCTTGTTTTGATTATTTTGTTTTGAGGGTCTCGCTATGTAGCACAAACTGACCTTAGCTCATCCCCCAGCCTCAGTCTCCTGCATGTTAGGATTGATAATGGGCACGCACCATCATGCCTGACCCTGATTGGTGTTTTGCATGGACTTCTCAGCCCCACTCCTACATGTGAACAGCCTCCACTCTGATACATCATTTCGAAGCTAACATGTTAACTACCTTCACTGGTAAGACAAGATGGAAGAGAAGGGCCCACTCCTGGGGAAGGAGTAGGTGGGGTAGGGCAGGAGAGGGAACTTTGCAAAGCCCTTCTCTTCTCCAAAGAAGTCTGGAAAGGTGAACGATGAGGCAAGTCAGGTGGAATATTACCTAAGGTTGCTCTAAGTCATGGGCGGAGATGGGCAGGATCCAAGGGCATGATCAGAAAAAAATTGACTTATAAAGCCAAAGGGCAAAGGATTGGGAACTCCATGTCAGAACGGTTAGGTCAGATGTATAGGGAGCTCTTACAAACTTTGGGGTAAAGAACTGCTACTAGGTGACCTTGAGCCTATCTGTCTGTCTGTCTGTCTGCTTCAGAATGGAGCTTTGAAACAGCTGCACCAGGCTGGGTGCTCCTTTGTCACCCACTAGCTCACTGAATGTCTAACTAGAGAGTGCATGCCACTGTCCAGGACATCAGATTAAAGACAGATGCTTACAATGGCCCTTTTCCTCCAGCACAGGTATAAGGGGTTGACCAAGGATAGAGGACCTAGGAGAGAAACAAACCAAGTCACATTGAGGGAGAACGCTCCAGAACTTACCAGAAAAGTTAACATTTCTGAAATCTCACTGGGAGGAGCCCTGGGAACTGAGCAGGGAGGGAACATGCCTCCAGAAGGAGTCCAGAACATTGGCAGGGGGTAGAAGGAGGCTGCAGATCTGGAAACTGCGAGGTAAGAGCCAGCAGGACAAAAGAGGCCTAAAGGGCCTCAGATCCAGCCCTGGGCAGCACTTGTTTCATGATGGCTTGTAACAGGCAGATTGACCCATCAGCTTTGCCTTCAAGGAGGTCACTACCTACGCTTTCCTCTATAACCTGTTCCTAGACTACTCTTCAAAGACCTGTGGGAAGATAAAGAAAAGGGGAACTGTATCAACAACCCCAAACAACGGTGTGAATGGGACACATTTAGAATTCCAGCTACTTGGGAGACTGACACAGGAAGATCTCAAGTTCTAGGCCTGCCTGAATTACAGAGTGAGTTCAAAGCCAGGCTTGGACTTGAACTTAGTGAGATCTCTCTCAAATGTTTGAAGGCCTGGAGCAGAGCTCCCAGGCAGAGTGCTTGCCTAAGCATATGTAAGGCCGGGGGTTCAGTTACCGGCACAAACAATAAATGACCCCAAACTATTCATCCCAAAACGTAGCACAGCACAATCCATGGGCCTCAGATGCACATGGGCCATCAGTGTCCTCCTCACAGCTGTCTGATATGCAAGACACCCTAGAAACACTCAATACATCTTTCTTTTCAACTGTTTTCCCTCAAAGCAGGAAGGCCTTCTCTCAGCACATGAGGAGGTTGCAAAACCAGGCATTTTCCAGTCACAGCACCTCCCAATCAGCATCTCTGGCTGGGATGCTGAGCCTGCGTAGATGGGCCAGTCAGCTCTTTTCCTGGTGCTATAAAGCTTGAGTGAGACATTAATGCAGGATGCTATCAAAAAGAAAGAGGCATCTTGCATCAGATGACCACAATTACGCATGCAGATGGATTCTGGATGGACCAATGACAAAGAAAGGCAGGAAGTGGGTTTTTAGGTCCGTGAGCTGGCTGATTTTTAAACAACAACAACAACAATAATAATAATAATCAATCAGGGATTATTGATATGAATAATGACCAGCATCAGATTACAATGTGCTATGGTCAAAATCATCTCCTCTAATAGTCACAATAACCTGAGATACATACTATTTTGTTCCCATTTTACAGCTGCCTAGAGAAGCAAATAGCAGTGCTACGGTGGGGAAAATTTGAACACCAGCCACAGGACACCAATAAACATAACACACTTGACCTTACTGATGAAGAGCACCCATTAGGAATTATTAGAGTCAATCCCGGAACCCTGGTCACTGACTTTGGTAATGCCCAGCACAGGACTGATGGCCGTCTGTTTCCCAGAATTTCTCATCGGTGAACTCCACTCACAGAACCGTAGCGCTGAGCCAAGCGAAGCTCCATCACCTGGGCCAAGTTCCCATTGAAATGTGTGTGTGTTTGGGGTGCCTAATGATTATTTTCAGTCTCGGTTCCTGATTATCTGGTTTGGGTTTTGCACGATTAATTAGGAGCCTAAATTAATGCGAAGGGAAACACGTGTCCAGCTGGGCCCCCCAGATGTTCCTGGAGAGAAACTCTCCAATTTGCTCAGCAGCGTGGCAGTGTAAACATGGCTTGGGGGGATGCTGGGAACTGCTGCTGTCCTCAGTACTCCTGGCGGGGAGGACCGTGGGGCTGACTGGGCAACTGGTACCCAGGCCTGGGATGGTGTCCCGTATTGCACCATCACCCAGTGATCCACTTTCCCTTCTTACTGTGGCCCTAGGTTCCTGTCCATGGTGACAAAGTCCATCTACCAGTCTGGGTTTCCCGCTCTTTGAAATGGTAATTAAATGAAAATAAGTGGAGGTTCATGGTGGCTACTTGGCGTCTCTACATCAGGAACCCCCATCCCTTCTACGGCCCTCACTCTCTTTGGAGAAATAGGCCAGCTAAGGGATGGAAGGGGAGGAAGTGGGTGTCCTCTCCCAGAGTGCCAGCTCTTCCGTGCTGGCACTGACTCCAGTGCCCTGCACTGAATCAGGAGTTTGTGGCTCAACTCCTGTAGCTTTACTAGAACACTGACACTGTAGCCAAGAAGTTCCTGTGAGTAAAAGGTGCTCCTCCTGGGAGGGAATGAGATACTGGCCCACTAACATAGGGATGGACCTTCAAAATGTCATAAATGCTGTGTGAAAAAGCAAGACCAGACATAGAAGTCCACAGTGGGTGGTGTAGTTGATCTGAGACAGCTGGACAGCTGGACACATCACAGGCTCAGAGCCTGGGAACAGAGTGCTGATTCCAGGACTGGAACCAGATAACCGGCACACGGTCTCTGTTGGGGATAAGAGCGTTCTGAAGATGGGCAGGTGATTTTACATTCAATGTGAATTTAATTAATGCAACTAAATTTTGCACTTTAAAAAATGCCTAAAATAATTGGGTGTGGTGGCATATACCTTTAATCCCAGTACATGGGAAGCAGAGGCAGGCAGATTACTGTAAGATGGAGGCTAGCCTGGGGTGGTCTACATAGCAAGTTCCAGGCTACCTGTGGCTACAGGGAGACTCTGCACCCCGCCCCCAATAAAACAAAACAAAAATAGCTAAAGTAGTAAAATTTATGCTATTTTACGATTATTAAAGAAGGGGGGAGCAGCTCCTGAGGTGAGGCAGGCTGATAGTTTCTTGGATGAGTGGGCAGGTTGAAGGACCACCTCTGCAAATGGCCTACCCCCCCACATGCCCCTCCCTTGCTCAAGTTGCACACATTGGTCCCCACAGCACTTGGGAGGCAGAGGTAGGCAGATCTCTGGTCAGTCTGGTCTACATAGTGATTTCCAGGCCAACTGAGGCTACAAGAAGACCCTGTTTCAAAAAAACACAAAACAAAACAAAATGAAGCATGAAAGATGTTGCCGAAGGCCCTGGGAATATGCGGAATTCTGCTCTGGGCCTTCTTAACTCAGTTATCACGTCACTGGAATTCATGGGAGAAAAAGATCTAACATCTTTCCCTTGTTGTTTGGAAGTGAATATTTAGGTATCAATGAAAAAATACTCTAAAATCATTGACTTCATTTTAACTCGGAGTCATTGGGTTCTTATATAGTATATATAATATATATATATATATATACACATTAGTATATACTAATTGTATAAAATCATGGATTTCATTACAGCATCACCGCACGCGTATACAGTGGTTTTTGGTCATACTCGCCTCCACATCACTCATTTCCCTTCCCCTCCCATGGCCCCCTTCCTATTCCCTAATGTCCTTCTTATGCTTTACCTGTTTGTTTTTTGTCTAGATTCTGCATATGATAGAAAATATGTGACATGTGTCTTTCCAAGTCTGGCCGATTTCACTAAACATGATGATCTTCAGCTCCATCTATTTTCCAGCAATAACATACTTTTTCTTCTTCTTCATAGGAGACTAATACTCTACTGTGTGTGTCACATTGTTCTTTTTATCCATTCATCCGTTAATGGGGACATAACCTATACCATAACTTGGCTATCGTGAACAGGGCTGCAGTAAACAGGGATGTTCAGGGGTTTCTGTTGAATGTTGGCTAGATCCTTCATGTATACACTCAGGAATGGGATGGCAGATGGAGTAGTGGTTCTATTTTTAGTTTTCTGAGTAGCCAGCATACTGGTTTCTGAAATAGCTTTACTGATTTACGTCAGGGGCTTACATCTTAGTAAGAGCCAAATAATAAATAAATAAACTGCACATCCAACCTGCCAACAAACTCAATCTGGGCCTGTCAGAATTTGTGTCGTTAGTGCCCACCACTGTCAGACACAATACACATTCCACGAATGTGTCCTTCCTGCCTGGGCCCTCCACATTTCCTTCTGCTGGGGGACAAACTTGATTTTATTTTTTATTTATTTTTTAAAATTATTTATTATTTTTATTTTATGTGTATGTGTGTATTATCTGCATGTAGGTAAATGGACCCATGTCGTGCAATGCCCGCGGAGGACAGAAGAGGCTATCGGATCCCCTGGAACTGGAGTTATGGACAGTTGTTAGCTGCCATGTGGGTGCTGGGATTCGAACCCGGGTCTTCTGCAAGAACAGCCAGTGTTCTTAACTGCTGAGCCATCTCTCCAGCCCCAAACTTGATTTTATTGATGTAACCCTAAGCCTTAAATAATATTTGTCATATAATAGTCGATATATGTGTAAAATTAATAAAAGCCAACAAAATTTAAGGGAATAGTTTTAATTGTGCCAAAACTTAAAGAAACAGGGTCCTGTGATGAAATGGAGAAAAAAAGGTAGTGGGGGAAAAGGAAAATAACTTGGGGTGTGCTTGTAAATTAGGTGACTGGAAAGTTTTTTATTGTTATTATTTCATTATTTATTTTATTACTATTACGTGTGCTCATGTGTATGTGTACACATGTGCCATAGCATGGTACTTGTGTGGGGGCCAGAAGACAACTGGTGGGAGTTACTTCTCTCCTTCTACCAATATAGGTCTTAAGATCAAACTCAGGTTGTCAGGCTTGGCAGCAAGGACCTTTACCCACTGTGGTGGTTTGAATGATAACGCCCCTCTTAGACTCCAAGTATCTGCATTCTTAGCCCCACTTGATGGCGATGTTTGTGGAATTTTAAGAGGTGCGGCCTTGCCGGAGGAAGCATGTCACTGGGGGTGGGCTTTGAGAGTTCACAGCCTTGCCCACTTCCAGTCTGTCTCTCTGCATCCTGTGTAGGTAGAAGATGTGAGTGCTCAGCTTTCTGCTCTGGCTGCCACTTGCCATGCCTCCCCTTTCTTTTTTTAAAGTCTTTATTGAAATTTTGTGTATTTCATACAGAAAATCATCTTTATACCCTCTTCCCCTTTGGGACCCTCCCATAGCCCCCTACACTGGAGTTAATACATTCTGTTGTGTTAAGTCCTGTCACATAAAGTTAGTGTCCCCAGATGTCCCTCAGTGTAAGTTCATTCACTGGGGTTTAATCAGCCTATCTAGATTCCCCCACTTTAAGAAGATCAGCTCTTTCTCACCCAGAAGTAATTAGCTGCCAATAATTCTTCGACTAAGATTGGGGCCTGCTGCTCATTTCCACACCTCTGTGCTGGGTTTTTGTCTGCTTGAGTTTGCATGGGTCTTGTGCGCACATGCTGACACCACTGCTGGAGGTTCATATGAGAAGAGTCCCAGGAGTCTATAGGACTATTTCCATATGGCCATGTGCCTCCTCCCTGGCTCTTAAAATTTTTCTTCCCCTCTTCAGAAATGGTCCCTGAGCCCTGGGTGGTGGATTTTAATATAGGAGTCCTGTCCAAGGACCCGCACTCTGCAGACTCTTATTCTCTGTGTTTTGGCCATTTGTGGCCTTTTGCATTCCTGGCCCTCTGTTGCATGAGGGAGCTTCACTGATGAGAACTGAGAGATGCATTAATGTTCCCTTCATCCCTCATTCTATGTTCCATGAGCCTTAGGTGTAGAGGTTGCATTCTAGATGTGCCAACTTAGGCTTGGGCAATTCACAATCTCTGTGTGTGACCAGTTGTGGAACTTTGTAATTGTCTCTTGAAAAAGAAGTTTCTTTGATGGGTGGTGACCGAGATACTTGTCTATAGATTTAAGGATCCATATTTTGCACGTAAACGTAGTAAGAAATTATATTAGTCTAGGGGTGTGAGGATATGAGAGCCTTGGAGTTTTCTCTAAGATCTCATAGATCTCCAGCTATGTGTATTTGACTAGGTTTACAGTACCAGACATGAGTTTCACCCCATTGAGTGTGCTTTAAATCCAATTAGGTAACTGTTGATTACCCCCAAGATAAAAGTGACACTATTGCACCATTGTCATTTGCTATGCTGGTCATTGATGTGAGTTTTAGGCCTTGAACCTGGGGCTGGGCTATTGATTGATGTTCTCCCTTACCAATTTGCATAATGCTCTCCAAAGCTATGAGAGCTAGCCTTCAGGGGAGGTGGATTCCAGGTCAATTCCAGCTTCGTTGCACCAAATCCTATGCCCAAAGTATGTCCTGTCTTCAGCAACAGGGTAGGTCTTATCAACAAGTTCTGGGAGCCATGCCTTCCCTTTCACGATAGACTCTTATCCCTCTGGAGCCATAAACAAAAAAATTCTTTCTTCTATAAGTTTCCTTGATCATAGTGTTTTATCACAGCAACAGAAAAGTAAGCAGTACACCCTCTGAGCCATCTCGCTGACCCAAGAAAGTATTTTTAATAGATGACACATGAATGGACACCTACCGGGATAAAGAGTCTCCAAGGAACCCTGTGGAAGAAGAGTGTTCCAGACAGGGAAACAGCAGGTGCAAAGACCCTGCAGTGTGAAATCTCCTATTGCTTCATGGGAACAGAAAATATGCAGAAAGGAAAGAGTGAGGCCGGGTGAGGGTTTCAGGCCAGGGTCAGACCACATCCTGGAGGACCTGTTGCTGTGCGAAAGGAAACTGGGTTCTGTTCTGTAGTGAGACGAGATAGGAAGGCACAAAGCCATCCTTTTTTCTTTGTAACATAGCTTTTTAATCATGTAAAAAAGGACATACAAAATGCTTTTTTTTTTTTTTTGTCTTTTTGAGACAGGGTCTCCCTGTAGCCCCAACTGTCCTGAAACTCACTATGTAGACCAGGCTGGCCTTGAACTCACAGAGATCTGCCTGCCCCTGCCTCCCGAGTGCTGGGATTAAAGGAGTGTGCCACAAAATGCTATTTTAATCCTTTCAAAGTGTATAGTACAATAACAGTTAAGTATGTTCACAG